AACCTAACTCATTTATAAACAACAATATTATTAAAAAAAAATAATCCGTCCCATTCGGATTACCCAACTCAAATTGGGTTAGATTTTATTTCGGTTTAAGTTTGGTTGAACGTTTAAAAAATCGAAAAATTCGATTTAGTTTACAGACTGATATTTTTTTGTCAAACCAACCCGACTAACTTGAAAAATAGGGTTACAATCCAGTTCAACCCTACTTTACTCTTAAAAAAATATTAAGAATATTTAACGTTTTGTAACCGATGTTAGTAATGCGTTTTGATATTTGAACTTTATGAAATTTTAGCAACTCAACAACCCAATCGAACCTAACCCGAAAATGGAAGATTGGGTTGTAAACACTATTCAGATTGCTCGGGTCACTGACCTAACCAATGCAAAATTTCGAGTTGGTCCAAAAAAAATTTCAACCCAACCCAACTCAACTCAATTCAACCCGTGTAAACTCCTAACTATGAAATAGAGATCTTCATTTGAAGCTGATACGGGACGGGATTATGTTTGTAACCCTAATCGATAGTTCGTGTGTAAACGAGAATAGGAGAGAGAGACAAAAAGGATTAGAGCGGCTCTTAGAGAGTGTAAGAGGACAAAACAAGTTGGCCCAACTCCCAACCTTTTGTGTCTTTATTATTAAGTTTTCTAATCTCTTTCATTGTCAAAGGGTACTTATAAGCTTAACTTACACAACCCAAATTTCTTCTTTTGGCTCCAATGGGATTGTCACAATGTGGGGTTGGGAGATATTTCTATTTTTTTAAAAAAATAAAACTAACACCGTCCACGCGCTTACGACGAATGTTTCGTTCCATTTCCACGCTCTTATGAAGAATGTTTTCATTCCCCGATCCATCCCTTGGGGGCCTAGCGTCCTCGTTGGTACACCCCCACTCCAATCAATGTGGGATCTCATAATCCACCCCTTGGAGGCACAACGTCTTCGTTGACACACCGCGTGATTGTTCCCCTTCCAACTAATGTGGGATCTCACAATCCACCCCTTGAGGGCCTAGCGTCCTCGTTGGTACACCCCTACTCCAACCAATATGGGATCTCACAATTCACCCTTTGGGGCACAACGTCCTCGCTGGCACACCGCCCTGTCGTTCCTCTCTCTAACTAACGTGGGATCTCACAATCCACCATTTAGGAGCTAGCATCCTCACTGGCACATCACTTTGTGTCGGGCTCTAATACCATTTGTAACAGTCAACCTCTAGTAGATATTGTTCGCTTTGACCTGTTACGTATCGTCGTCAATCTCACTATTTTACAACGCATCTACGAAGGAGAGATTTCTATACTTTTATAAATAATGCTTTATTTTTTCCTTCAACAGATTGTGATCTCACAATTTATTAGATAAAAATTTTCAATTTTACACCAGGGGAAACATAGGTAGAAATTTAAAATTTTAAAATATAGTAAATAAAATCAACTATATATTAGATAGGAAAGAGATTTTGATGAGGAAAAATTGTGGGCTTTGGGGCCCAATTAAGTTTTGGGCTCAATGATGTATGAAGTTAATGGGCTCTCATTTGTATGTTTTGGGCCTCCATTGGACACATTTTCTTGGTCCATAGTTTATAAAAAAAAGGGTTAACCACCCCTTTTTCAAATAGAAGTCACCCCAACTTGTTCGAGTCGGGCATAGATGCGGAAGCAGTTCCAGTCCTAGCTACTGACGTAGCGATTGTAGCCTAATTCGGCATAGATATTCATATTCAATTCGATGTTTCTAAGGCTCACCCTATCAGATCCTTCCTAGGTTCAGCTCGACTAGAATTCAGTTTCACCTATGATATTCAATTCATTCAGAAAATCGAGCTCTATCCAGGGAGTTAATATAACTTAACTATTCTAAACTCCGCTCTAAACAATGCCAAGTATTATCAATTATTCAAAACAGTAGCTATACTGACGTTTTCTTACCTTAATTACATCGGAAATAGTTTTGGGAGGGTCCAAAATAGTTGAAATTGGCCAACCGAGCCAAACCAATGTTGTATATAATGTCATGTATGCATTTCTTTTTTCACACGTCAATGGTCTTATCAATTTCATTCATCATTTAAAAAAAACCTCTCGAAAGGTAAGTTTTGGAACCATTTTAAAGTTTAGGGACATAATTGAATCACACCAAACCGTTTATAAGCATATGATATAATTGAATCTGATCTAAGTTTTCAGGTTGCAAAAGGTTTCAACCCGAACCATCCTAACCGACAATGAACTCGACTTAATGCAATTCATTATAATAAAATATACGAACCAACTCAATTCATAACAAAATTAGATGCCAATCAGATTGTTTTCGAGTATTAGGAGTGTACATGAGTCAGGAGGTCGGGTTGGTTGAAGGAATTTTTTGGACCAACCCAAAAGTTAGGGTTGGTTGGATTGGTAACCCAACCCAACATTATATTTTTAGATCGGGTTGTCTGGTTGTTAATTTTTTTTTTTAAAAAAATATTTATCCACAATTCATAATTATTCGATACAATCTTATATAAACCAACTCAAAAATAGAAATTTTAAATGAAAACAATATATTTTAAAATTATTGAAATATATATAATTTATTAGGGTTAAGAAAAGTTAACCTAGCCGAACTCAAAATGCTAATCCAACCCAACCCAAACTTCAATAGTTCAAATTAGGTAGGTTTGAATTGTCGGATTGTTGAGTCGAATGTATACTCGTATCTGGTGTAAGACGACTATAAAAGAGTTCGAATTGTCAGATTGACGAGTCGAATGTATAACCGTATCTGGTGTAAGACGATTATAAAAGAGTTCGAATTGTCGGATTGTCGAGTCGAATGTATACCCGTATCTGGTGTAAGACGACTATAAAAGAGTTCAAATTGTCGAATTGTCGAGTCAAATGCATACCCGTATCTGGTGTAAAACGACTATAAAAGAGTTTGAATTGTTGGATTGTCGAGTCAAATGCTTACCCGTATCTGGTGTAAGACGACTATAAAAGAGTTTGAATTGTCGGATTATCGAGTCAAATGTATACCGGTATCTGGTGTAAGACGACTATAAAAGAGTTCGAATTGTCGAATTGTCGAGTCAAATGCTTACCCGTATCTGGTGTAAGACGTCTATAAAAGAGTTCGAATTGTCGAATTGTCGAGTCGAATGTATACCCATATCTGGTATAAGACGACTATAAAAGAGTTCGAATTGTCGGATTATCGAGTCAAATGTATACCCATATCTGGTATAAAACGACTATAAAAGAGTTCAAATTATCGGACTATCAAGTTGAACGTATACTCGTATCCGGTGTTTATATGATGAGTGAAATAGTGTTGGAGATGCTTTGTTTTTTTGTGTTTGTAAATTTAGTTTGAAAATTTTTCAATCCCAACAAACAAATTTCCCTTTACTTCTTTTATCTTCTTCTCTTGGATTTGTTTTTTTCTCTATTGTCTTTTTACATTAGTGTGTTGGTTCAAGGAATCGTACGGATAGGATGAAAACGAAATGATTTTACGTCGAGAGAATTTCAATCAAAATCAATCATTTAGCGTTCGTTTGGTTACCATTTTATTTTTTTTCTTATTATTTTTATGTTCTTGAAAACGGTACGGTCAAGATTGTAAGTTCGTTTTCTCTCATGGCTTCATTCATTTTCATCTTCGATTTGGATTACGAGGATTCGAGACTGGTTTTGTTCTTTCTCTACTCACAAACAGCTGCCAACGCCTCGCCTTCATGCATTACCATTTTAGGTTCATGCCGTCATGGACTCCACCACTGTGTTCCTTGCATGCAATCGAAACTTGAAGAAGGAAAGATTGTACCAAACGTCTGGTTGAAGAAGCAGTTTTAATTAAACCGTTCAACATTCGATTCAGTGAGCGATTTGAGTAATGTTACTTTAGAACGTTAATGAGCATATTCTTGTGCCTAGGTATAAACCGTTTTTGTCTATATATTGACAGTAATTTTTATTTTATTTTATTTATAACTGTAAAAAATTTTATAGGTATTTTTCAGTAAAAATATTTTTAAACTTTTTTTTAAAGAAAAATTAAAGGCTGTTTATTGACGGATACCGTTTTTAAATTAATTAATGATGACTTAGTACAATATGACAAAAAGTAGCTCGATAAGAAATGCACAAATGAAAAAATCAGTGACGTTTCATTGGACTTTATAATTGGTCTCCTCGTACTGCTTATCGTTTAATCAAATTCCGACATGACATTAAACCTATATGTTTTAAAACATTGTCGGGAGTAACAAAAAGTCCACAAATCACACCTAATTGACATTGATGGTTAAAATCTTCGTGTTCTTTAGGACTACGTAGTAAAAAAACAAAGAGTGGTTTAACTAATAACATGGTAGAAATGATGACGGTTAAAAAGTTACATAATTCTTCCCGAACACGTCAATCCGTGGGTGTACCTTAAAATTTACAAAATTTTACGTAAAACCAATCTTTCTAAGACAAAATAGGTACAAGAAAAGTACGATAGACTAAGAAAACTCGTTAAAATTAGAATTGTATATTTATCGAGGGAAGGACTAAAATAGACAAAAACTAGGTCTAATAAGTTGGGCTTAGACAACAATCCTAACATTCAATGTGATACCCGAGTAACGAATAAAAGAAGGGTATATAGGGTACATAGGTCCACCGCTAGCAGATATTATTCTCGTTGAGCTTTTCTTCTCGGGCTTCGTGTCATGCATTTATTTTTGAAAAATCGAAATGATTTTAAATGTGAAAATAATGTTTTTAAGAAAGTTTAAAACTAAATTAATAATTTAATTTCTAAAAAAATGGTAATTAATATAACGAGCTAAAAAAACCAAAACGGCGACGTTCTGATTCCAATGGTATTTTAAGGAAAGAAGGTCGAACGGTCAACCCGAGATCTGAACCAGGGTTAGATTAAAACTAACCATGGTTAAACTGGCCCCACTAACAGGTTGAACCTTTATAAAGCTTGAGGCAGTGATAGCCATAGCCATTTGTTTAGAGAAACTCAAAAACCAGAGAGCGCAAAAGCGACTACACAAATTCATCAACGGAGAACAGAAAAAATGGCGTTCTACGGCGATGAAGACGACGTATGGAAATGTCCAAAACATCCTTCCAAACGGCGGAGGATCGGAATCTGTCCTCTCTGTCTCCGTGACCGCCTCGTCACTCTCTGCCCTGACTGCGCCAACGTCCGTCCCTGCAATTGTTGCGCCACTACCACAACTACTTCTTCTTCTTCTTCTTCTTCATCCTCTTTCTCTCGTTTCTCCTCCGCCGACCTCGCCTCTCTCGGATCCGTCGGCCGCCTCTCCAATCTCATCGACGGCGAGCCGGCTTTCCGCCGCTCTCGCTCTCTCGCTGCGATTCCATTTCTCCGATCGAGATCGCGGTTCGTCGCTGATTCTGGCGATGACTGCTCTTCATCCGGTAATAGCGCTAGAGCGTCGTCGTTTTGGTCGATTTTCAGGTCGAAGACTAAGAAGAGTCGCGATGGCGGAAGAATCGAGGCAGCGGTGGAATTCGATTTCAAACGGAGAGCGAAGGAAGTAGCGGAAGTTGAAGAGGCGATGAGACGAACGTTGATGATCCGGTCAAGATCGGTTGCGGTTTCCGATTCCAGCGGGAGATTCGTTCGGACGCCGGTGAAGGCAAAGGCATGGTACTTTCCAAGTCCGATCAAAGCTTTCCGGCAATCGAAGGTTCCCAAGGCCGTTCTCACGGAACGGTCTCCGTTACACAGAGGTTGAATTTAAATTACTTTGTCGCATTTTCAAATTCCGAAATGAAAATAGAAATCGGAATTAAAAAATATATTAAAATTATTATTACTATTTTGAATTATGATTTTCTGATTACGTCTAGAAATTGTGTGGAATGAAAAGAAATTATGAATGTAATTAGTGTAAATTGTTTAATTAATAGTGAGATTATCTGCAATTTTAGAGAGATAGGGGCAAGAAATAGTAAAATGAATAATATGAGGGGCCAGGAATAGCAATTTTGGAGATATAAGGAAAAAGAAAAAGTGACAATAATTGGAAGAAAATAGGGATCTCATCTCATTCAAATCAAATGGGACATTACAATATTTTTTATTTTGTGACATTTTGCCAAACTTTTTTTTTTTTTAATAAAAAAAATTGGGAGAGATTGTTTCTAAGTAAAGCATTTCTTTTTTCTTCATAATAATGCAACTTATTTATTTATATTTATTTATTGGCCCTACCGCTTTTTAAATTTGTGGTTGCAACATGAACGTTGAAGCTATCCCAGTTCAAGATCGATCACTTTCAATAGGGTTATATTCATATGGTTTGAGAACCAGACAAACTCAGTTTGAGAGTCAAACTAGAAATGAATTTTTGGTTAGTGGGTTGATATTTTCTGATCATATCAACCCGACCAACTTGAAAATAGAGCATTGTGTTGAATTGAGTTATGAACTCTATTCGGTTTTCTCGAGTCAGCAACCCGAAATTTTGGGTTATTTCAAAATGATTGTGTTTTTTTAGTTCAATGACAAGGTTACGGTTAGGAATCATGACTCTCCACAATGGTATGATATTATCCACTTTGAGCATAACCTCTCGTGGCTTTGCTTTGGGTTTCCCCAAAAGGCATCACAATTCTCCACAATGGGATGATCTCATGGCTTTGCTTTGGGTTTCCCCAAAAGGGCTGCTTTCAACGGAGATAGTATTCCTCACTTATAAACCGTCGTTTTATCCAAATAATCCTCAACAATCCTCCCCTCGAACAAAGTACACTATAAGCCTCCCCTTAATCGACACTCGACTCCTTTCTCTGGAATCTGCTGTCAAGGCTAAGATTAGGACATGACCCTGATACCATGTTAGGAATCACGACTCCAAAATGGTAATGATATTGTCCACTTTGAGCATAAGCTCTCATGACTCCTTCCAATGGAGATAGTATTCCTCACTTATAAATCCATCATCTTCCGCTAAATTAACCAATATGGGACTCACTCTCAATAACCCTCAACAAATACGTGTCTGAATAAGTATCGTTTTATCCCAACGAAATGCAACGAATGAACTTTAGGCTTGACCGATGATTAGTTGTATATTTTATATTTTTTTGACAAATTGGAAGAAACAAGTGAGGTTGATCTTTACGTCAATCATGATATATGTAAAGAAATGGTGTATGAGGTGGCGAAGGTTGAATAAAGATTCTCTCTCTTTTTAAATAATATTAATTAAGATTCTAATTTAACTTTAATTTAGAATATTCAAGAAATCAACTTTTTAACCACATAATTACATTGCTAATCATATTGTAACGCCGCAATTAATAATTAAAGTTAAGATTAATTAAACAAACTATAGTTGAATTTTAGTATTCATTTACTTGGAACCTTAGCACATGCAAATTATTTTCATTACCATATGAATTAATTAAAATAATTAGTAATTTTCTAATGCTCCAATTATGCTTTCGGTTAGATCTTAATTAATTATGTGTATATATATATATATATATTTCTTTTTCAAACAATTGTTTAATTTATCTTCTATTATATTTTTTTTAATATACAAAGGAAACACAATTTCTAATAAATAAAAAATTTAGTATTTTATACTTAAAAAAATATTTATTTATTTAAACGGGGTAGGGTAGTGATCGAATATAATATTGTCTTTGTTAGATGAATACGACTCTCCACAATGGTATGATATTGTCCACTTTGAGTGTAAGCTTTCACGATACCAATATATTGGCACACAACTATGTTTAGGGCATGACTCTGATACTATATGAACATGACTCTCCACAATGGTATGATATTATCCACTTTGAGCATAAGCTCTTATGGCTTTGCTTTGGGATTCCCAGAAAAACCTCGTACCAATGGAGAGAGTATTCTTTGTTTATAAACCCATGATCATTCCCTAAATTAGCGGATGTGGGAGTTTTATCATTTAACAGTCTTCAGCTCCATTCAACTAACCGGGAGAAATCTCTCCCAATTCTCTCTCATTCTTTATTTAAATGGAGATTTTCCGTTCTATTTGTATCGTTTATATGGAAAAAATAAAATAAAATAAAATCCTAAAATTTGAATTCTAATTTCTCATTTCTAAAAATAAAAATAAAATAAAAAACTCAAATATGTTAGAAGGTCAAACATAAATGGCAAGGAAAGTCAAAGTCAATCCGGCGGTCGGATTGGGTGTTTGGAATTTTTGGAGACTAAAATATATAATATAATAAAATTTTCTAAATTCCTCGTGATTGGTCAAATTAGGATTTAAAAATAATTAAAACAAAAATTGATAATATTTTCTTCATTTATTTTGAAAAATCAAAATAAAATATATTTTTAAATTATGGATCTATTATATATAAATTTAAATTTTAGATGGTAAGAATATTTAGTACTAAATTATAATTTACCATATATATCATATTTGATATTTTATTATAAGGCAAATTTCTAGATATTTGCATTTTTAGCATAGGTATCTTTCCATATATTATTGTTTCCTTTTATTACTATTTTCATATCGTTGTAATTTATTTGATTATAAATAGAGAACTTTTACACATCATAAGTGTGGTGGATTAAAAAAAACATTATCATGGTATCAGAACCATTTTGGTTTAGTAACCCCGATCCTTTCTTTTCAATGACTTTTGAAATCTTCTATTGTTCTTCTCCACCACCATTGCTGGCTTTGACGCCGTAGGGGCCAATCGCCCCATTGTTGGCTTTGATGCCGCAGGGGCAGTCGCCATGGCTACCACATGCAGAGCTTATTGATTACTCTTCGATTCCACCCTTTTGACCTCCAAATCATCATTTGCCATACTTTGTACGTACAACCTCACCTTTTCTAACACAATCGATTTTCCCTCAACCAATATAGTCTCTTTTATTTTCTTCCTAATCTTCCCTTCATCTTTCACATAAACTCTAACCTAAACCTATGAACATTCTGCAGAAATTTACCTTTGGAATCTAGGCGCTGCACTGGCCTCTTCGCCAACCAAGTCGTCGCCGCCCTTATAGTTAAAATTGGCTCCTTCGCCCACTATGGCAACTCTTCCAGCTTCAACATTGTCTTTGTCCCTTGTTCTAGGTTTCCCCTTCTACTTCTTGGGTTGGCATATTCTCACTAGAGCCAATGCAGTATCGTCGGTAAGCGACGATCCCTCTTCATGGGATAGACATATTTTTGCCGAACCCAAGGCAGCATCGCCGCTAAGCGGCGAACCCTCTGCAGTTTTTGATGGTCAAGAAAGTGTTTCTCTACATCTCCTCCGAATTAGGCTATTGACATCTTCACGGAAAGTGTTTCTCGACCTCTCTTTGAATTTTTCAGATCCAAGCTTCATGTTCGTTCAAATTCGATGCTCAACTTGTAGGTTATTAAGGATATTTAGTACTAAATTATAGTTTATATATATATATATATATATATATTATATTTGGTATTTTATTATAAGGAAAATATATAGATATTTGACTTCTTGCCATAGACATCTTTCCATTTATTGTTATTTATGTTTATTACTCTTTTCATATCCTTGTAATTTATTGGATTATAAATAAGATAACTTTCACACCATTTAGGTGTGGTGGATTAAACAAACATTAATCCACCACACCTAAATGGTGTGAAAGTTATTTTATTTATAATCGAATAAATTACAAGGATATGGAAAGAGTAATAAACGAAAATAACAATAAATGGAAAGATACCTAAGATAAGAAGGCAAATATCTGATATTTGCCTTATAATAAAATATCAAATATGATATATATGGTAAACTATAATTTATTACTAAATATCCTTAACACCCCACCGTAAGCTGAGCGTCAGATTTGAACGAGCGTGAAGCTTATATCTGAAAAATTCAAATAGAGAGTGAGAAACACTTTTCGTGAAGATGTCAATAACCTGGTTCGGAGGAGGCATAGAAAAACACTTTCTTGGCCATTGAAAACTGTAGAGGGATCGTCGCTTAGCAGCGATGCTGTCTTGGTTTCGGCGAGAATATGTCTTAACCCATGAAGAGGGATCGTCGCTTATCGATGATGCTGCCTTGGCTCTAGTGAGAATATGTCAACCCAAGAAGTAGAAGGGGAAACCTAGAGCAAGCGACAAAGACAATGTTGAAGCCGGAAGAGTCCTCACAGTGGGCGAAGGAGCCAATTTTGGCTAGAAGGGCGGCGGCGACTTGGTTGGCGAAGAGGCCAATGCAGCGCCCAGATTCCAAAGGTAAATCTCTGCCGAAGGTTGATAGGTTTAAGTTAGAGTTTATGTGAAGGATGAAGAGAAGATTGGAAAGAAAATGAAAGAGACTATGTTGGTTGAAGAAAAATCAATTGTGTTGGAAAAGGTGAGGTTGTTTGTACAAAGTATGCATCAAAGCCAGTAGGGGCGGTGGATTAAGCAAACATTCTCATGGTATCAGAGCCCTCTTGATTTAGCAATCGTGATCCCTTCTTTTCAAAACGCTAAATTTTTTATTTTTAATTTTTTATTCAATAAATTTGTAAATTTATAAATTCGGTTGAGTTAATTAATTTTTTTTGGATTTTTATTTATTTTTCTTAAATTAAATTAAAAAAACAAAAGAAAAAATTTGAAAGATTATTACATATTAAGACAATAATAAAGATGAGATTTTTAAAAGATTTGTACAGTTCATTTATTGATATGACCCAATTGCCTCTCTTTTCTTGTTCATAAATTCTTCAATAATTATTCCATTATTTATAATATTATTCTTTATGAAATTGAAAATAATTTTGAATCAACAGTTATAAGTTCACATGTTTCATATTTTAAATATGAATATATATATATATATATATATATATATATATATATATATATATATATATATATATATATATATTTT